GAACAGGAACAGGGCAGGGAGGCTCTGCTGGTTAAGGCGCTAGGCGGGCTCCCAGGGAACAGACAGCGAAGGCAAGAGGGCTTCCACAGGGATGACCTGAAGGCGAAGGAGGAGGAGTGTCAAGTTTTACAGAGACAGAAATGACATGAATCACTCACATGGGGCCTTGTTTGTGAAGTCTGGAAATTACAGCAGCTCTTGGCCCTAGGAAAAGTTGGTATAATAAGACAGTCCTTTTCAACAAAGTGCTTAGTAAAAATGGAAAGACTCAAGCCTAAGGGGCTGAAAGTCAAGGAATACAACTGAGTTCAAGAAATGTACTGAGTTCAAGAAATGTACAGAAGGGCCGGCCGAGTGGCTCAGTTGGCTAAGAGCTCGCTCAAGAGTTTGAGCTCTGAGCAACAGCGGTTCGATGCCCGGCCCGAGCTGAGCAGCCGCTAAGCTGCCAATAGGTAGCAGGATGGCTCAGCTAAAAAAGAAAAAAAAAGAAAAGAAATGTACAGGGACTAGACACATTTAGTAAGTTCCTGTTATGTGGGGTACTGCCTACATTATTCCATTTAACCTTCAACACCCTTGAGGATTATGATGAAGCATACGTGTTGGGCAGGATATCACACTGCCCTGTTTAATAATGGTGCTCAGGAAAGTGCAGTATTACTGCACAAATAGGGGACCCACTTCTGAGCAGGAAGGGGGTTCTTCTTGTTCTATTGTGTACACAGCTAGTGGGAGTGCAAATGGGCACTGCTTTCTTGGAGCAAAACCCAGCAATAGTATGGAAACTTACCTTTGATGTTTACAGAATATGGGTATCACAAAAATATAGCAACAAGGATGTCCTTTATGTTGCTAATAATATAGAAAACATAGAGATGACTCAATTATATAATGAGATTAGGTAAAGAAATTAAGTCCAGGAAGAGTAACAAGTATGATAAAATACTATACAATCACTTAAAATGGCTACGTAAAAGAAAAATGAAAGATGTGGTGAAAGAATGTTTGTACTTCATTGTTGCATGAAAGAAGTTACATAAGAGTGTGGATAGGACAATATAGCACATTGGGCAGAGTCTCCTGATTATCTCATTCTAAAGCATGTTTTTCCTTATACCAAATAAAATGTCCATTGCAATTCCTTGAGACTCAGCTCAAATGTCCCCTCCCTCCAGGAGGTTTTATGGACGCCTCACCCTGGCTGGCATTTCTCTTACCCTCTTCTGTGCCCCAGAGCCCTTGTTTTGACCTCCCTTTTGGAATGCCAATCCTCCAAATTATATTATTCGTATGTCTTAATTCTTCTACTAAAATTCCAATAGACTTCTTCCCTTTAGTTGCCTGTAAAGTCTTTGAGAGTTTACAGAATTCATCTCTCAAGTTCCTCTTTTATAAACAAAAATATATGTTCTTTCGGAGCCTAAGAGCTCTGTTTCTCTCCTGGCTCCTGTCCTGTTGAATGAAANAACTGCTGTTGCTCAGAGCTCAAACTCTTGAGCGAGCTCTTAACCAACTGAGCCACTCGGCCGGCCCCCAGGAAGAAGTTTCTGTTCGAGTCCAAAGGCAGAAAGAAGATGACGTCCCAGTTCACAGGCATGATGGCAGGAGGAATCCTCTCTGACGTGGAAGAGAGTCAGCCCTTTTGTTCTAATCAGGCCCTCAACTGATGGGATGAGGCCCACCCACATTATGAAGCACAATCTGCTTTACTCAGTCTGCTGGATTACATGTTAATCTTATCCAAAAACACCCTCACAGAAACACCCAAGGTAATGTTTGACCAAATAGCCGGGCACCCCATGGCTTACTCAAGTTGATGATCAAATTCACCATCACCCAAAACTTAACTCATGTCACCATTAGTGACTATGAGGTGCGGAAGCCCTGTTGATTCATGTCCAACCGATCTGGCTGCTAAAATATCAACTCTAATTTCATCCCATTTCTAAGGAAATAAATCCCAAAACCAGAGGGAAGCAGCAGCTGCCACCTCAACTCTATCACATACAATTTTAGACCATTTCCTTGGGACAAGGTAGAGCATGGCATACTGAAAAGAGCTTGGATTTATGATGACATGACATGGGTTCAAACTCCAGCCCTGACAGCTGTTAGCTGTATCACTTTGAGCAAGTAACTGAACAATCCTGAATCTTGGTTTTCTCACTGGTAAAATAGGATGACAACACCTACCTCACTGTCCTGTAAAAAATAAACGAGATCATTCAAAAGAGTGTCTGAAAGGTGGTAGCCCATGCCAACATCTCTATAATGTGCCTTTGAAATGGGAGACCATTTCACCGCAGCCAGAGGGCACAGGGTGTGTTCTCGTCATCTTAATCTACTCCCAGCATACCTGCTACATGAACACGGAAGGGACAGTGAATGAATAAATGTATGCATGAATTTGGGGTCCAACCAATTGTGAGCTTTTAGAAAGAAGATACAAAATCTTGTCTTCCTATGTGTAATACAATGCTCTGTTCACATATGAAACTTCCAAAACTGTTTTATGACAGGTTATCAATGTTTGAAATTCAAAAGGGAAGAGTTTGCTCATGAGCAATTCACGTCTCAGAGATCTACTTTAGAAAAATGTGTGACTATTAGATATTCCTTTTTTATGTCATTCCCCTTAGTGTGTCAGAGATTATAATCACATCTAATAGCCTTTTGTTATGTTCACACCATCCATCCACATTTTCAGTTCAATAATTCACCCACTACTGAAGTCATTACCTCTCATTTGGAGGAAGGGAATAATTCTGTTTCATTCCAAGA